CATAGCAATATTTGAGTCTTAATTTGCTTGCAGATCATGTTAATGAACATATAAACTATCCCAGCTGAATTTTCAGATAAAGCAGCACGTAGATAAAACCATCAGATTTACTACAGCAGCCCTGACATCATAATGCTCACCTGATGAAGATGCCTTTGCCGAAGTAGATAAATCTGACTGAGAGCATCAGCTCAGAGTGTGGAAGCTCTTAAAGCTGACAGTTTACTGATGAGACAGGGAGTCTAACCGATAATGCCTGAATGAGCCAAAGAACATCATTGAACTATATTTACTGCAAAGCTCAAGAGAAAACCTGCAGAACTCCCACAGGCTCTAAAATGACATCAGCTGCTCTTAAAACCATAAAGCCATGTCAAACATACTGCATTTATCGAACCTGAAGCTCTATGTTCTCTGAAGTTCTTTACGTAATTTAACGGCAGACAATGTAGATTTAAAAAAATGTAATCTTGTTTGAAGACAAATAATATTTTTATGTATTTATTCAGATAAAATATTACTGTTTTATTTTTATTATGATGAACATGTCTGTGTTAACTTAGTTAGACGTTCACAGACACAAATAATCACATTAAACTTTATTTTAGATCAAAATACCCTCAGGCACCATGAATCTTTCCAAAGATAAAAAAGATGGAGCCACCCATTCATTTTAATTTGCACTAAGCAGCCTCTTTATTAATTGCTTATTACCACAAATAGCTAATCAGCCAATGACATGACAGCAACTCAGAACCTTTAGGCAGCTTTAGTTTTGATGGAAACTTGCTGAAGTTCAAACTGAGCATCAGAATGGGGGAAAAGGGGAGATTTAAGGGATTTTAAATTGTGGGTCTGAGCATTTCATAAATTGTTCATCTCCTGGCATTTTCACACATCAAACAAGCCAGTGTTTTTCTGATTATACGTTAATTTTGGTGTGTCTGTGTGAACTGTGGCCTCAGTTTCCTGTTCTCAGGTAGCATTAGCAGCACCTGATGCAGTCTTCTGGTCTACAGGTTATAACGTGTCACTTGTTCAGAGCTGCTAACATGCAGAGCTTGTTGTAATGACTGGTTATTTGAGCTACTTCTGCACATTCTGCTCTGACATCAGCAGAGCCTTTTTGTCCACACATCTGCTGCCTGCTGGAGATTTTCTCTTTAATGGAGCATTCTCTGTAAACCTTAGAAGTGATGAAAATCCTAGCAGATCAGCAGTTTCTGAATTACTCAGACCAGCCAACAACCACTCAAAGCCATCTAATAATGGACTCGTTTCCAGTGAGAGCTGGACTCCGCCAAGGTTGACCTTTGTCACCGATTCGGTTCATAACTTTAATGGACAGAATTTCTAGGTGCAGCCAAGGTGTTGAGAGGATCCTTTTTGGTAACCTTAGGATCACATCGCTGCTTTTTGCAGATGATGTGGTCCTATTGGTTTCATCAGATTGGGATCTCCAGCTCTCACTGGAGCGGTTAACAGCCGAGTGTGAAGCAGCCAGGATGAGGATCAGTGCCTCCAAAGCCAAGAACATGGTCTTGAGCTGGAAACTGGTAGCATGCCGTCTCCAGGTTGGGGAGGTGGTCCTGCCCCAAGTGGAGGAGTTTAAGTATCTCGGGGTTTTGTTCGTGAATGAGGGACGAATGGAGCGGGAGATCGACAGGCAGATTGGTGCTGCATCTGAAGTGATGCTGGCACTGTACCGGTCTATCGTGATGAAAGAAGAACTGAGCCAGAAGGTGAAGCTCTCGTACCGCTCGGTCTACGTTCCTACCCTCATCTATGGTCACGAACTTTGGGTAGTGACTGAAAGAACGAGATCGTGGATTCAAGCGGCGGACATGAGTTTCCTCTGCAGGGTGTCTGGGCTCTCCCTTAGAGATAGGGTGAGAAGCTCAGTCATCCAGGAGGGACTCAGAGTAGAGCCGCTGCTCCTCCACATCGAGAGGAGCCAGTTGAGGTGGCTCGGGCATCTGGTTAGGATGCCTACTGGACGCCTCCCTGGTGAGGTGTTCCGGACACGTCCCACTGGGAGGAGGCCCAGAGGAAGACCCAGGACACGCTGGAGGGACTATGTCTCTCGGCTGGCCTGGGAACGCCTTGGAGTTCCCCCAGAGGAGCTGGCCCAAGTGGCTGGAGAGAGGGAAGTCTGGGTCTCTTAGGCTGCTGCCCCCACGACCTGACCCCAGATAAGCGGAAGAAAATGGACGGACAGACTTGGTTTCATTCAGCCTGAAAGGAATAATAAACTGGGAATGTTTTTCGTAACAGATTAAATATTTTATTACACTTCCATCCCTTTAAAAAATTAGAACAATTTTTTTAAATCAAATTTTATTAATGTATTTTTTTATATAATAGAAGCTGATTTTCCAGCTCGGTTGGAGGATGATGAGAAATGATAAAATTCTGTCTAATAAACATGCAAATCATTCCATTTATTTTGTTTTATCTTAGTTTGTTTTGCTAAAAGAATCTTTTAGAAGCTCTGGATCAATTCTTGCTGCTTCTTCATGCTAGTGTCCAACCACAAGGGGAAACAGAGCCCTCCTCCCTCCACAGCCTCTTTATGGGCGGATAAAAGCTCGCCCTCTGCTCCTATTGATTCATGTTGAGTCATTGGACAGTGGATGGAGTCTGACGAGGGGCGGAGGGGAGCTGCGGGTTCAGAGGGGGGAGGCAGCACAGATCGATGGTGGGTAATGGACAGATGATTAAATAAGTGCAGAGAGAATAGAAAGCTTCATCCATCAGAGGCAAGGCGGTCTGGGGGAGGGGGGTTAAAAGGGTTTGGTCCTGTCAGACTCAGCAGCTCTCTGATGGTGAGGCAAGCTGCTGTGGAGCACATCGAGCAGAAAAAATCTGATCTAACACCACCTGAATTCTGATTTTCTCCAGTATGATCGCTTTGTACAACAGTTCATTATCACCTGCTGCTACATAAATGGTATTGACCAAGCCAGTTTTAAAGATATTGAGCTCAGGTTGGGTGTGGCAGTAGTTGATCCTCAACCCCAACACATTTTCAAAACAGATCTGATTAAGCAGGATTTGTTTTTAAAGGGATCCCTGATTAGTTGTAACATTAGACTTTATTTGATAAACTACATTTTATCTGTAAAATAAAGACTGTAAACACCGTAGGCTGTTTAGTTTTGTAAATTTTTAAAAATATATTTTTACACGGACGGAGCCATTTTATTTACACACAAAGCATTCTGGGTAAATGATGATGTGGATAGGTCATTGGTGTGAGCGAGCTATATCCACCCTGAAGGTTAATCTTGGACAATATTTGACGATTGGCTCTTTTAAATGAAACCAGAGAGCGTTGACAGAGAGGAGAAGGTAGAAATGACTCAGCCTGTAACTGAAAATATAGATGGTGGACAACAGAGCTGCTTCATGGAAGAAGAACCTCAGCTTGTTAGCCTTCGCGCTAGCCCTCACAATATATTGCCTTATATGTATTAGCTCGGCGCTAAAACAATTTAGCTAAACAAGCTAAACTGAGGTCCTCCATCCATATTTTCAGTTACAGGCTGAGTCATTTCTACCTTCTCCTCTCTGTCAACGCTCTCTGGTTTCATTTCAAAGCTCCAATCGTCAAATATTGTCCAATATTAACCTTCAGGGTGGATATAGCTCGCTAGCAGCCTCGCACCGAGGACCTATCCTCGTCATCATTTACCCAGAATGCTTTGTGTGGAAATAAAATGGCTCCGTCCGTGTTAAAATATATTTTTAAAATTTTAGTTTAAAAATGATAAAAACTAAACAGCCTACAGTATTTTTACAGTCTTTATTTTACAGTTAAAATATATATTTATTAAATAAAGTCTAATGTTACAACTAATAGGGGATCCCTTTAAAAACTCTCCTTTTTTAATCACGAAACTAACTCTTTTTTAAACCAATAATCATGAAATACTGGACGGATTTTGATTAATCTTTCTTTTAATCAGTGAATCTACAACTGATTACATTTTGATGTCAGCCCAAATCAACATGGTCATCACAGCAGATTTTACAAAATACAAAAATGACTAATATTGACCTAAAAATTGATGTAGCTGAATATCAGCCCAAACATTTACTTTGAGCACTGCATATTTGTCTGTGCATGTAGAGCCACCACTAATCAACATTAACCAACACAGAAATAACTATAACTGTTATTTTTACAGCTGTTGAGCTAAAATTTGACTCTGTACCTGAGAGACATCCATGACACATACTCTGAGCATGACTTCTTGCAATATTGCACAATATTTATTGTAATGTTATTATTTAAACTTGACAAAAAAGGCTACAACTCATTTCTCAGTATAAAATAACTTTATACTAAAACATTGGCATTAAAAAATGGCAATAACACATTATAGTAGGCTTCTTCTTCTATATTATTATTATTATTATTATTATTATTATTATTATTATTATTATTATTATTATTATTATTATTATTATTCACTGAATGCTGCAGCTTCCTTGTGTTTATTATGAGTTGATGATGTTATCAGTCCTGCAGCGCCTTCTTCTGGTGATAAAGGTTCATTATATCTCAGCAGTTTTAAACAGGTTGATTCTTCCTTGAAGTAAAAAAGAAAACAAAAACGCACAACTTTCTACTTCAACACTGAACATGAACAGACTCAGCGAATTCCCCTTTAAGATGAGATATAAAGTCCAAGACAGCAAAGAAATGATGGTTTGATGGAGGTTGGCGTCTTTGGAAAAAGATTTGTAGTGAAAGTTAATGACAGTTCAAAATAAAGCATCTTCAAAGGAGTTTGGTTAATTTTCATCTGTAAGCAGAACAGACTAAAAGTCTCATTTTAAACTTCGTGTTGTTCAAACTTTCAGTGAAAATCTTTCTGCTGGATTCATTTTACGGGTCAGGTGGAGGGAGGTGAAAGGTGAGGAGGGGACTGAATCCAGGGAGGCTGTGCAGGGGGCGGGGCACAGGTGAGGAGGTGGGGTTATCTGATGCCTACCTGCTCCTCATCACCTCCTCCTCCTCCTGCTTCAGCGCTGAAACAGACAGGAAAAAAAGAGCCTGAGACTGATTGAAGGTTTATTTTCTTCAGCTGCTTCCAACATTATATACAGTGGGTAAAATAAGTATTGAACACGTCACCATTTTTCTCAGTAAATATATTACTAGAGGTGCTAATGACATGAAATTTTCACCAGATGTTGATAACAACCCAAGTGATCCATACATACAAAGAAATCAAACCACAAATGTCCAGAAATGAAGTTATTTGTAATAATGTGGAATCATTTGGGACTGAACCAGCTGATATTAACTTGCAC